TTGTGAACTACTGGGCACACAAAGCTGTAATTAAAATCCACTGAGACTATGTATGTAGTATTTTTAAAAGAAACAAAGTCAGAAGCATTTCATATAGAGCAGCTAAGATAAGTGGAAGGAGTTTTTTCCTAGAATTTTCTGTATGTTAGCTCCTAGTCTAATTTAGCCTCCAGATTATTCATCTGTGGCTCTAGTGAGAAGCAAACATTTGTGAAGCACTGTGACAGCATGGTGAGAAGTGCCATACAGAAAACCATAGGTAAATTAAATTCCATCATCTAGGTGAGCTTCATGTAGAATGCAATAAACATTGACACGTATTCCACAAATAATATATTATGTTTTAATACATATTGACACAGGAACCATTGTCCATCTCATGAGTATGTGAAATCTGTTCCCACAATTATAGTTTCAGACACTGGAACAAGTTGTCCAGGGAAGTTGTGGATGCCCCATCCCTGGAAGTGTTCAAGGCCAGGTTGGATGGGGCTCTGAGCACCCTGGTCTAGTGGGAGGTGTCCCTGGCCATGCAGGGAGGTTGGAACTAGATGATCTTTAAGGTCCCTTCCAACCCAAACCAGTCTGTGATTCTACTGTTTCTAAAGGTATGTGCACAACAAGCTGACCTGGAACAGCAGAAGCAACTTTAATTCAGGCATTCCATTACTTACTGCTTTCCTTTGCAAGCTTGTGCTCTTTTATCCTGATTAAAAACAAAACAGAACCACACCTTCTACAAAAAGACAAAAAGAAAAGAAAAAAGGCAGGACATCCCAAACCACCACACTGGTACCCACCCTGCTTCTCAGGCTAGCTGAGCTCTGTGGCAGTGAATAGATCTTTGATATTTGCACTAATGGAGTAATAGCAGCAGCAGGTAGTCACGTTTTTATATGGAGCAGTAATAAAAGGTGATGAAACCCACATTTTGCCAAGAAGTGTCTGATGGGTGGAAGGCTGCCAGCAAGCAAGGCTGAATCTAATCACTACTGTGAGAGGGAAGGAGAAACTCTGCCATGTTGTGTAAAACGCACAGATTGCTGCCTGTCAGTCCTAACAGACTGAGGTGTGACTGGAGCCATTTCAAGGTCCTCCCTGTCCCTGCCAAACCTCCATGATGTTTGGGACTCCTGGGCTCCCTTCTGTCCCAGAGAGCAGCATGCTCTCCTGAGCCCAGCTGTGTTCTTGCTGCTTCTTGAAACGGAGCTGCTGCTACCCTTTTCCTCAGCCTCTTGCCATCCCTTTTTTGGTCTTTCCCTGCCTCCTTGTTCCTTTTCCTTCCTCCTTTTGTGTCCTATGCTGATTTCCACGCCCCAGGCTGCTTTCTGGGTCCAAGCAGCCGGGCCAGCCCCACATACCATTGCCCTTCTCCTGCAGAGCCTGGCAACCTCGCTCCTGCACACTCATCCAGCTTGCTCTTCCCTTCTGCAGGGAAGAATTCCCCCACAAAATGCCTCACCCAACCCCCCCCCCCCCCCCCCCCCTGCCTTCCTGCTCCAACACCAGGAGCAGAGGGATGTGCCTCTGCTGCCCCTGAATGCCAGCTGAGGGGCAAAGAGGGAATCAGCAAAGTTCATCACGTGGGCTCTCTAGGGATACAGGAGTAGCTCAAACAATTACAGCAATTAACATTATTAAAACAAACAAACAAACAAGAAGTAAGTAATATTGTCTAACAGCCTTATATGTAGAAACATATAGATGGGGATTTTTTTCTCATGTGTCAATTATCCTGCCAAAGTTTAAGAAGTGTATTGACAACTGGCTTCGTGAACTGGGAACTGGTAAAAAAATTATAAAATGTAACCATCAAAGGTTAAAACACTGAGGTTTATAATTGAAAAATGAGAGCTGATCTGAAATACAGGCAAAGAACCATTTATTACTGTTTGCTGACATTTATGGTTTTAAAACCGTATTTTCAAGGATTTCCCACTCTGTCAAAAATCAGTGCAATCTCACGAAACATTCAGCTTTTATCAGAAAAAAACCAACAAATTGTTTTTTAGCTTCAGCCATTGCTGTAGAGAGAATTAAATTATGACTGAGTACTGAAAGATGCCTCAGGTTTCTAAAAGTCAGACAATTAACTCATTTTCTCCCATCCCCAACTAGTCTTCACATTCTTTAAAAACAGACTTGTCTCACTTGTCATGCATACTCCTTTTTACCTCTACATACGAGACCATATAGTGGTTTGGGTAATGCTACTCTGAAGGAGAAAGAATAATGAGCCTTTGCAAATATAGAGCTACTAGTATGTGCAGAATAAATGTTTTTATAAAGCCACAAATATAAATCCCAGTCTTGTACTATATGGGTGCTCTTTCAGTTAAAAAATCACCACCTCTCCTGATATCCAGAGCAACTTGCAGTACTCTGGACTGCAATTTAGTTACAGTTTTGCTGCACACCAGATAATGTTCTTAGTTTTACAACTGTGCCAGTTCCACACTGCAGATACAACCTTTAACCCCCTAATGGCAATGGTCATTCCACTGTGGCCCGTTTTCTGAACACTCATAAACTATCAATTAATTAATGAGCTATTCCCACCAATAACAGCAGCACTCCCTTTTGCCATTCAGAAGCAACAGGACTGGAATCCCTGCTCCCTGCTGCTGAGCTCATCTGCTCCCAGGCTGCCCAAATCCCCTTCTGCAGCTTCCTTGGGCAGAGCTGACTGAGGCAAGAAAACACCTGTAGTATATACTCCAGGAGAAAACAGGTGACCCATTGTTCCAAAGGAATTCTCCTCTCTCCATACTATGGAGTTAAAAAGTAGTCTGCATGCAGTCTGGTTTTGCCTCTAGATAAACCTTCTATAGAAGGGAATTAGCAATTGATAAAAAAGGGAAAAATTAGCTCAGACAGAATCATGGAATTGTCAGAGTTGGAAGGGACCTCTAGAGATCAATCCAGTCCATCTTCCCTGCTAAAGCAGGATCCCCTAGAGCACATCAGTTAGGGCTGCATCCAGGTGGGTCTTGAATACCTCCAGAGAAGGGGACTCCACAACCCCCCTGGGCAGCCTGTTCCACTGCTCTGTCACCCTCATAGTAAAGAAGTTTTTCTTCATATTTAAATGGAACTTTCTGTGTTCCAGCTTGTGCCCTTTGCCCCTTGTCCTGTCACTGGGAAATACTGAAAAGTCTGGCTCCATCCTCCTTGCATCCACCCTTTAGATACTCATAGGCACTAATAAGGTCTCCTCTCAGTCTGTTCACCAGGCTAAAGAGTCCCAGTTCCCTCAGCCTTTCCTCATAAGACAGGTGCTCCAATCCTCCAAACATCTTTGTTGCCCTGCGCTGGACTTTCTCCAGTAATTCCCCCTCTCTCTTAAACTGGGTAGCCCAGAATTGGACACTGTATTCCAGATGTGGAACTGGACACTGTATTCCAGATGTGGCCTCCCTAGGGCAGAACGGAGGGGGAGGATGACCTCCTTCAACTTGCTAGCCACATTCTTCCTAATGTGGGTACATAATGTGTGGCCTAACTGCTCCTTATCACAGGATACCATTGGCAGCAAGGGCACATTGCTGGCTCTCGGTTCAATTATTATTCACTAGGACTCCCAAGATCCTTCTCCTCAGAACTGCTTTCCAGCAGATCCACCCCTAACCTATACTGGTACATGGGGTTGCTCTGGAGTGTCAGCTACCCCTCACAGTTTGGTATCATCAGCAAACTTGCTGAGGTCACACTCTGTCTCCTCATCCAGGTCACTGATGGGTATGTTGAAGACCACAATCCAGCACTGACCCATGGGGAACACTGCTGGCTACAGACCTCCAACTTGACCCTGCACCATCCGTCATGACCCTCTGAGCTCTGTCACTCAACCAGCTCTCAATCCAACTGACTATCCACTCATCTAACCCACACTGCCTGGGTTTCTTACTGAGGATGTGACAGGAAACATGCTGCTGCTGAACTCCTCCTTTTCTTTTTTAACTTCATGGGAACAAGAGTATGATCTCTAGTTAAGAGAACCCTGGCACTGGAAGGAAGTAACAAGGTCAGCTTCTTCACCACAGCTATTTGGGAGAGTAACACACAGCTGCACAATGCCCAGGTTGTCCACAAACACGAGAATCTAACTGAGCAAAAAAAGTAAATTATCAAGAGGCTGGATTAGGCAGAAGAACAGTTCTAATTCCAAGCAAAAATAGTGCTGTCACATTCACCATCTTCTGGAATGGGTGATTAAGATGCCTGTCTTTTTCCAGAGATAAAGCTGCAAGTAAGAACCTCAGAAATACTCTTTTTATCTCTGCTCTTCATTTCCCCTTTCATATGCACTAGCTTAATTTCATCTCCAAAAGAGCAGATCAGATCCTCTTCTCCCTGAGAACTGATCATTTAACTCCATCCACCTTTGTTAACATTTAGCAGACCAATTGTCTCTATTTTCTTATAAGAATGCTAAAACTA